TGCGATTACGGCCTCATACTCGGCCTTGCTATTAGTCATATCTGGACATCTTATGGACTAGAGAATTACTTCACCAATAGGGACCTCGAGTACGAATCCCATTCCAGATCCAAAAGCATTGGATGCGCTATCGGTGTACAGGACCCACAGTTCTTGTGTGAAAAGCTTGAGCGGCTTCCTTCTCGACCTCGGGCATTACTTTTGCACTAAAGTCTGCGACAAAGTCAGCGAGCACTTGCGACTTTATCATTGTTCGAGGCCGGTATGTGATGTCGTGCTTACTTTGCTCGATGACCCATTTGTCCAGCCTCCCCAACTGGTCGAGTTTATGTATAATGCTTCTTAAAGAGAAAGTGGTAACGACCGAGATAGGGTGGCACTGGAAATAGGATCTAAACTTTCGAGAAGCTACGACCAATGCCAAGGCCAATTTCTTGAGGTGTGGGTACCTCATCTCGGCACCGACAAGTATTTTACTGATGTAATAACTAGGAGATTTATGTACCTTTTCTTTCTCGAACTAGGACCGCACTTACTGCTACTTCGGAGACGGCGAGATAGATGAGGAGGTGTTCCCCGGGTTCAGACTTTGAGAGTAAAGGTGGAGATGATAGATACACCTTTAGTTCTCGCAGTGTTTGCACGCACTCGGGAGTCCACTCGAGGCCGTTATTCTTATTGAGTATGCAGAAAAATCTATGACGTCTATCGAGCGACTGTGAGATAAATCTCGATAAGGCGATAATTCGGCCAGTCAATCTTTGGACTTGCTTCTTAGTAGTCAGTTGTTCAGGTATCCCGTCGATAGCCTTAATTTGATATGGGTTGACTTCAATTCCTCACTGTGATACTAAGAAACCCAAATATTTTCCCGAGGCTATGCCAAATGCGCATTTCTCGCTATTTAATTTCATCTCGCACTGTCTTAGTATATCAAAAGCTTCTTTCAAGTGGTCGATATGGTCTTCTTCCCTCATGGATTTGAAAAACATTTCATCGATATATACCTCCATGGTCTTACCGAGTTGATCTTTGAACATTTTTGTGACCAACCTCTGATAGGCGGCCCTTGCATTCTTCAACCCAAATGGCATGACCCTATAATAATATGTTCCCATGTGGCTGATGAATGTGGTTTTGTTTTGGTCCTCTTCTTCCATGAGTATTTGGTTATAACCCGAATATGCATCTAGGAACCTTCGCAGCTCGTGCATGGCCGTCAATGAGTTGGTCGATATGTGGCAATGGGAATGAATCGTTCGGGCATGCTTTGTTTAGGTCTGTGAAGTCTACACACATCCTCCATTTACCATTTTTCTTTTTTACCATCACCACATTGGCTATCCATTTGGAGTACTTCGACTCCCTAATGGATCCATTTGCTAATAGTTTCTCTACCTCATCGTGGATAACATCGTTGATGGTGGGGTTGAACTTTCATCGGACCTGCCTTACCGAGGGATAGAAGGGGTCGACATTCAATTTGTGTGTGGCGATCTCTTTAGGGATGCATGGCATGTCTGCATGGATGAAAGCAAACAAATCTGCATTAGTTATTAATAATTTACTAAATTTACCTGGTTCTCAGAGTTTACAGCTGATGTAGGTCTTTTTGTTGGGGTCGTAGTGGTCTAATTGAACGGGGTCGAGGTCCTCTATAGTCGATTCTGTGGCTTCGACCATTTCAGGGTCCATAATGACTTCCCTAGCTTCTTCTTGTAGCGACCTTGACCCTACTGATTGCTATGCTTCTTTTTCCTTATCTTTCTTTTGTTGAGTTATTATGCAATCCATGACGATGCGGTAGCATTCCCAGGATGTGTGTTGTTCCCCTCGTATGCTGAATATTCCCTAGGGTGTTGGGAACTTAATCACTTGATATAAGTTGGAGGTGATGGCTCTCATAGGATGTATCCATGGTCGTCGTACTATGGTATTGTATGTGGTGGTATGGTCATTGATATGGAAAGTTGTCTCCAGAGTTATGCCACCGTCAAGAACGGCGAGTGTGATTTCTCCCGAGGTCTGTTCAACTGCATTTTTAAAACCGGTTAGTGTGATATAGCATGGCACTATCTTATCCTCGAGTCTTGTCTGGGTGAGGACTCAGGGATGGATGATGAATGCACCACTCCTATCATCTACCGTGATACGTTTAACATCAGTATCTCAAATTCGTAAAGTAATGACGAGAGTATCGTTGTGAGGGAAAGTCAAACCGTCGGCATCTAACACGTCGAAGATGATACTTTCTTCGAGTCTGTCATATCGTTCATGGGTGATTGAGCTTGTGGGTGGCAGTGAAATTGACGCTGTTGATGGAGGCATCGTCACTGCCACCTATAATCATATTGATGGTACGAGCAGGTGAGGGCGGCTTCGGCGGACCTTGACGGTGTCGACCCCTAGCGAAGGTGCTCCTTACTTTGTCGCTCAGTAGCTCTTTAAGGTGCCCTTGCTGCAACATGTTTGCTACCTCTTGCCTTAGGGTGATGCAATATTTTGTTTTGTGTTCGTGTTCCTAGTGGAATTCGTAGAGGGCACCGGATTTCCTGGTGCTCGGATCGGACTTCATCTTTGGAGCCACTTTACCTTTGTTTCGAGCTTCTCAAGGGTGTAGACTGCCTCTGTAGACGGAAAACAAATTGTGAGAAAATAACAAAGGGGTCATACCTCTCTCATTCCTGTGAGTCTCTGTCCTCGGCCTAGATGGGCCATCATCATAGCGAAATAAGGGAGGGGGCACCCTGACATAAGGCTAATGTCGTTCCCTGTTTGGCCATGAGGCTTGTTGATCCCTCCTCATGTTAAATCTTCATTCTTTTTTGGGCTCGGTTTGTTCCGAGATGAGACGTCGAGTTGGTCTGTTGAGATCTTCATCATCTGCTCGGACCTCGGTACAATAGGCATTATGGATTTTATCCCAGCCCATTTTGAAAGGCTTCAACTTCCATCCCCTCGGAGACATTTGGTAAGGTCATCCTTACCCTGTTGAATCGGGCGAGGAAGTCCCTCAATCCCTCTCATAGGGATTGTTTGATGGCGAACACGTCGTTCTCTTTCATTTCGGCTTTCTCGGCCCCGGCGTGTGCCATCACGAACTTGTCATCCATTTCTTCGAATGTTTCTATGGAGTGGGATGGTAGTTGTGAATACCATATCAATGCTCCTCTAGTGAGAGTTTCACCGAATTTCTTCAGCAAAATGGAGGACATATGTTCCTTGGTGAGGTCGTTGCCCTTCACAGCGTTGACCAATGAGTCACATGGTCTTCGAGGTTTGTTGTCCTATCGTATATTCTGCAATACAGTGGCATTTTGAAGGTCTTTGGTATGGCATGTGGGACCGCCTCCTCGATATACGGATGTTCAACAAACTTCTGACATCCTTTTCAGTAGTAAATTAGGGGTGTACGGTATCTTGTCTACCCGTTCTTGGTGTTCTTTTATTTGGTATCTGATCGCCTTGTTCTCATTCTCCATTTCTTCCATTCTTTTCAAAACAGTGGCGAGGACGATGTCACCTGCACTATTAGTAACATTGTGAGTTATACTTGGAGTTGGAGGGTTTGGTTGATCGCCTTGTTCGTACCCTCGCTGCACCGTGTGGGCTCTTATGGTTTCTATGGTCGTTCATGGAGCTTGTTTGTTGAGCACGCTTACTAGAGTATCGGTTAGCCATGCTTCGAGGAGCTTTTTCATAGCAGGTAGTGTCCCTTCTCCTATAGACATGGAAGCTCCTTTCCCGTTAGGTTTCGTTATGCTACAATAAGGGGGAGGCGGCCTTTCACGCTTGGGGGAGGTAGTGGGAATCACATCCTCGCCTTGTGTTTCATAACTCTCATTGATGGCATTTATGAGGTTACTGGAGACGTCATTTATCACCCTAGTCCCATTTCCTTGGTTACCTGCCATGGAAATTTCTGTACCTGTAGAGAGGAGAAATCTTTGTGACTCGACAAGTTGATACGCTCAAATTACACCTATATAAATAGTGTAAGGAGGTGGATGTCAAATATAATAATCCAACTAGCTTGGGGTCGGATCCCACAGGGAATAGGTGTGAAAAGGTTACTTGAATAGTGTGAAACTTGACTTAAGCCGTACTTCTACTCCGTTAGATTAAAAAGAGTTTTGTAATTGTGAATTGTCAAGAAATGCTATTTTGTTCAGAGAATTTGATTAATTTGATTAAGAAACCAAGGTTGTGTCCCCATCAATGGAATGTAATGCTATCAGTGTTAATATGATATAGTTCTAAAGGAAGGTCGTTTGATATGCAAATGGTTCCTAAATGACTGCCCAATATTTTCCAATAATTAGGTAGTATTTCCTTTTTACGATTTTTCCAAATAGAAAAGAGTTACAATTAAGAACAACCAATTTATGCCAAGTATAACCCACTTATCCCTAAGCGATTCTATTAAACAAGGTTTAAAGCCTTGAGTTCTTGCTATTCAAACCTACCAAACCCTAACCCACTTTTCCAAGTAAAGATAGAATGAAATGGCACTAGTCAATGTTTGCAACCATCAACCATAAATGAAGCATGAGAAATGAATAGAAATCGACCAACCATTATATAGATATATATTAAATGATAAACACCCATTAACATTACACCCACTTACGATTCATAACCTTAGTATTTAAAGTTAGCTACTCATACTAGAATACAAGAACAAAGTAATAAATAAAGTCATAAAGCTTACAAATATGGACAAAGTCTTGGATTCTCTCTCAAAAGCTTCCAAAATAATGGTGTATTCAATGCTCTAAGTGTAGGCTCTCTGTCAGACAAGATCCTCCACAAAAACCCTAATCATTCGGTTTATAATGATCTAAAAGTCGTGGTCAAAATGTGATAGAACTCTTACGGATCCACCACTGTAATATATCCTAAGAATCATGACTGGCTAAAAGGTAACTTGAGCTTTTAGGATTCATTTTCTTTTGAAATAATCATGCAGCATACCTCCTCCACTTTTCCAGCAAATTCTTAAAAGGAGAAACCACTACAAATTATTGCATGCTCATATACCAGAAATAAACAGATCTCTGTTTGCTCTACATAACTCAAATTTCCTTACATCAGAAAAGGAACAGATGTTTCTTTTCCCAATTAGAATCCAAGATGCTTCGGAGCAATACAACCTCTAATGCTAAATTATCTAGCCGTACATATACAAAGAAGCAATAGATAACAGATAAACTCCATCTCCCTCAGAGGACAGAGGCATGTCAATGCATAGGGCTTCAATGTTAACACATCCAACTGCAAGCTCTTTTGTCAACTCAAATCTGTACCATAAATAAGTTGGTGGGTGACCAAATGCTCCATATCTTGAAATACAGCTCTTTCAGAGAAGAAACATAAGAAAAACCTTCCCAGCTTCATTTTCACAGGAAGAGGGGGAGGAGGGAATCACAAGCTCGTATGGGATACTCAGCTCTAAAGCATGGCGACCAAATAAAATACGATGGTTGTAATAAAAAGAGACATACCTTAGTAGTAAGAACCAGACCCACCACTTCCCATATAACCACTGCCACCCATACTACGACTAGAATAAAGCGAGGAGCCAACCTAAAGATTCGTCAGAGAAGAACAGGAACAACAGTTATCATCGGATAGACACTAAAGCTTCCAACAGAATTCAACAAAGTAGAAGCATACATCACTGCCACGAGACATGTAATCACCACCATAGTTGGATGCCCTGCAGATCATGTCTGCGACCGCAGAATGGGTCGCAGAAAGCTTTCGTGCTTCGCACATCTTCATTTTCACCGCAGAATTGATCACCAAGTTTTCCAGTTTTCCATCGTATTTTGGTTATGCTGTCCACATATTGGTTTTGCGACCGCATAACGTACTGCAAATTCATCTTCACTGGAACTCCTTTTGCAATTGTGTGATCACTATGCGGTCCGCACAAAAGTTATGCGACCGCACAATGGATCGCAGACTTGACTCTCAAAAACCGAGATGGTTTGCTTTACTCTGCGATGGGTCTACGGTCCGCACATCACTTTTGCGGTCATAGACCTGCCGCATTTCTGTCTTTCCATGTGTCATGTTCTTGGCTCTTCAAGTCTGGGTTCTTACAAAATACCAAAACTACATAAGAAATGACTTATAATCCTTTAAAAGATTAGCTAAAGTCTTTGTAATTAGTATCAAAAGTGCCGCATTTCTACGGCGAATCACAAGTCACGTGAGTTGTAGATCTAATGGAAACTAAAAGATTAGCTAAGAAATCCCCACAAACGGCGCCAAATTGTTTGACCAAAATTTAGATCTAGATTTAAATAATTAGATTTTCTTAAAAGGGAAGGGTTAATCTTAGATAATAATAATATCCAATAGATTATTTAACTAGTGTCGTGACAAAATGTTACAAGATCTGTGGTAACAGTGATGAATATACGATAATGAACAATGCTTAATGGCGTAAATGCAATATAAATAGAAATAAAGGACATATGATGGTATTTATATAAATAGATGTAATAGATATGATCGAAAAAAGGGGTGGAAACGTGTAATTTTCCTTCTGACAATGATGGATGATTAATAAGCCTTTGAATATTCGAACTCGCCTTGGATCGTGGGAGGAAAGCTAAACAGGATCTCAAGGAAAATGTGTCTTTTTTATGTATGTAATAAAGCAAGAATCTCTAGAGAATGTTAAAGTGTTCTCTTACAAATGACTGTTCAATGTCCCCTATAACTATGTCTCTTTCTAGTTATAAGGGGACATATGCCACAAAACCCTAATAGTACAGATCCCTAAGGAGAGTGCTCATCCTCAACCTAGCCCTTCTTCTCTTGTTAGATCACTTCGACCTTGAATTTGTTTTTTGTTGAAGTCATACTGATGACACGTGGCAACCCTCGAAGGCCTTCTTAATACTGATGTGGTCTAAACATAACTAAGATAATTTTTGGCCCATACAATTATTACACACAATATATCTTCAATACATGTAGAAAACATCAACTCCGGGTCATGGCCATAACCATGGTGAATTTTTCGGAACTAATTAACACATAATCAAGTCATCAGAACTAATTTCCTCCAACTCACCCGAGTCACGTAGACTTCCAACCCGAAAGTAACTCAATTCGATATGCTCGCTCTAAAAGAACCTTTTTGCGGATCCGAAGCCGTTTCTTGCATCTCTCTAATATTGCCATGTAGAATCATTCTTGACATAGAAATACCGCATATCAAGTCGCCATTCACTTCCGATCTCAAGCCCTGTTCATTCAGAGATTTAGGAGTCCTTAAATATCCCATATGATCTGGAACTCACCAGAACCTTCTCGATAACCACTCACCTTACTTTGATCTTCAATACACACCCAATACATACCGAGCAAGCCGCGCTTTACCAGCACATGACTATTCAAAGAAACAACCAATCAATCCCTCAGCCCGGAAACTGATACAACGCATGATCCTACAATCCAATCATCGATAGATTTAATAGTTGAAAAAAAAAATAATAATAATAATAATATTCAACTTGGAATAAATGCCAAATCTAACACAGTGCTAAAATAAATCACGTGATAATATCTACTCCCAGAAGTCCGGAGTCACGAGTACATGATCATCTAGAGTGCTACAAATAATGTTTGTACAAAGTACAATTGTTTTGAAACTCAGTAAAATAGTAATGATAGAAGGGAAGGGGACTTCAGGGCAGTGGACGCCCTGTAGCTATACCTCAAGTCTGGAATTGTAGCTGGATCCGAGCAGAAAGCTACTAAGCACCACTAGGATCAGCACCAAAATCTACACAAAAAGTGCAGAAGTGTGGTATGAGTACAACCGACCCAATGTACTCCGCAAGTGTCAAGCTCAACCTCGACGAGGCAGTGACGAGGCTAAGACAAGGCGCCTACGTAAAATAAACATGTACATGTGTATATAAAGCACAAAATAACAATAAAAAATAATAAATGCTAACTGGGAGGGGACATGCAAAAAGGGAAAGATATAATAGATACGGCAAGTATGAAGACATGAAATAATCAAGCAAATCGCCAAATCCAGAAACTAGTCAAATCAATGATATGAAAATGGCACGGCATCACCATTTGTGTTTTTACTCTCATCTTCACCATGTAATAATGTGAATGAATGACACGGCATCACCCTTCGTGATTTTATACTCTTACTCACCATGTAATAATGTGAATGAATGACACGGCATCACCCTTCGTGATTTTATACTCTTACTCACCATGTAATAATATGCATAAAATTGTACAGCATCACCCTTCGTGCTTTTACACTCATCCTCACCATGTAATAATATGAATGAAACGGCACGACATCACACTTCGTTCTTTTACTCTCATCTTCACCATGTAATAATATGCATAAAATTGTACAGCATCACCCTTCGTGCTTTTACACTCATCCTCACCATGTAATAATATGAATGAAACGGCACGACATCACACTTCGTTCTTTTACTCTCATCTTCACCATGCAATAATATAAATTTGAATAATAAACAATGCGGGGAAGTAATTTAACTTCAAATATGGTGCCATGATATCAAACTCCAACTTCCAAAATATTCAACATCTTTAAAATAAGCAATAAATATGAAACGAATAATTAAAGAAGTAATAATCCAACCTAAGCATGGATAGCATAATTAATGAAATAATATAATACAAAGAAACAAGTTTCACCCGCATGCTTTAACCCAATGACAACACATAAGTACTTGTCACCTCACATATATGTTATCGCCACATATAAAACACGTAGCAATTAGACCAACAAGTCCTAATCCCTCAAGTCAGGGTTAATCACGACACTTACCTCACTCCACAACCAAATCAATGCTCAACCGCGATTTTCCTCAAGAATTTGCCTCCAAACCAATCAAATCTAACCAAATATAGTTCAAATAATTAAAAACTAAGCTTTAGAAACTACCCACGAGTGAAAAAGATTCAATCTTTAATGTTTTTTGGAAAAAGTCAACAAAAGTCAACCACTGGCTCGCTTGGTCAAAACCCGATATTCGAACCAAAACCTAATTACCCATTCACCCCCAAGCTTGACTATGTGATTAATTTCAAAATCTGACCTCAATTTGAGGTTTAAATCTCAATTTTTCAAAATCCCCAATTTTTACCTAAATTCCTAATTTCTACCATGAAAAAGCATAGATTAAAGGTTAAAATCAATGGGTGTTTATGGAAATGTAAGAAAACAAGTTAAAATCTACTAACCTATAAAGCTGGGATAAAAGACATCTTCAAATATCGCCCCTAGACCGAGCTCAAACATGAAAATGGTGAAAATGCACTAAATCACGACTTTGGGACATTTTAAATCATTGGGCGCCAGGCTTTCTTCGCTTTCGCGAAGGGCCTGACGCGATCGCGAATAACAGCTGCTCGAGTGGCCTTTGTGTTCACGAAAAATTCTATGTGTTTGTGATGGTCTGTCCCCCTAGCCTTCGTGTTCGCGAGCCTGGGCTCGCGTTCGTGCAGAGTACGGACCAGCTTCCCCCAGTTCCCTCCCTACACTATGTGTTCGCGAGAGGGAGGTCGCGTTCGTGAAGGGTTAACCCCCCACCCCCACTACTTCGCGTTTGCGATAAGGCCTTCATGTTTGCAAAGTATGATTTCGTCCCTTGTCCTAGTTTCCCCTTCACGATCGCGAAGCACAAAGTCTCAAACACGAGCAACAACAAAAACCAGCAGATTCCTTAAGTCAAAAAATGATCTGTAGCCTATCCAAAACTCACCCGAGCCCCTCAGGCTTCAAGGAAAGCATGCACACAAGTGTAATAACATCATACAAACTCGCCTGCGTGATCAAAACACCAAAATAACACCTAGAACTACGAATCATACATCAAAATGCATGAAATTTTCAAAGAAACTCACGAACTTTTAAATTCACAACCGAGCGTCTGAATCCTATCAAATCAACTCTGTTTAGCACCAACTTTTGTAGACAAGTCTTAAATAGTAAAATGAACCTATACCAAGTTCCGGAACAGAAATTCGAACCAGGTAGCCATAAAGTCAACCTAAGGTTAAACTTCGGAATCCTTTAAACCTACAATTTACAAGTTTTAAACAAATCATGTTAAAATAAGTTAGGGACTCCTGAATTCAATTCCAGGCAAACTCCTAAGTCTAAAATTACGATACAGACTCACCGGGATTGTCAAAATACCGATCCGGGTCCGTTTACACAAAATGTTGACTGTAGTCATCTCAAATCATTTTTAAGGCTAAAATTCATATTTTCTTTAATTTTTCACATAAAAACTTCCTGGAATAAGACACGGACTGCACACACAAATCGAAAAACACCAAATAGATCTAATCGGGTCTCGGAATACGAAAATAAAGGCTAAAACTCAAAATGACCTATCGGGTCATCACATTCTCTAGCTTTAAAACAAACATTCGTCCTCGAACCGACATAGAAAGGTACCTGGTAATGGCCACCGCTCCTCCTCGTAAGTCAAATCTTGTCCAGTTGGACTTTGATGAAATCTAATATATGGGACGGATCACTGTGATGCTTTTGGAGCATGGAAACATGGAACACCAGGTGAACTACTGATAAGCTAGGTGGCAATGCAAGCTTGTAGGCCACCTCACCAACTCTCTCAAGGATCTCAAAGGGTCTGATATACCTGGGGCTGAACTTGCCCTTCTTCGCGA